GTGCGCTCATAAAAAAGGGAAACCCTTTGCCGTTTAACACATTGTGTAAATAAAGTAGCTAGCATTAGAATTAACTTTGAAATCAGAGTTAGTCGAAACTAATTCTGAGGGTTAATCAAAGATTATGGAAACTTACATCTGTCAGTTAGTAGGAACTGGGTGATTAGTGTGTTTTCATGTGCTTTGTGCTGCTGTGTAGTGTAACCTGAACTTAGCTGGTCTTTTGTTGGCATTTCCTGAGAGGAAAAAATGAGAAACATTGCATGTAGTTTAAAAAAAATGATTCATTGTGTAGCATAGTGTCTACTGTGAGAATCTGCTATTGTGTTCTGGTGCTGGTTCAAATACTTGCATCTCCAGACTTTTGTTACCATCGCTCAGCTTCTCATTTTTGAGGTGCCAGCTGACCTATTAGAGCACGCTGGGCTTTTGGAGCCACATGCTCCAAAAGAATAAGAGCTAAACCAAGGAATTAAGACAAAGAGTGAAACACAACTGTAGCACTACTGAAATAAAAATATAAACCTGTGAATTATCATAATAGTAGCGTTTTAGGAAGAACAGGTGCTGAGACTGCCTTCAGTTCAATGTGAATGGACTATGCAGTATCTATTATGTAGGGAGGAATATAGGGGAGAGCTCTTTGAGAACACAGCATCACAATAAGACAACAATGAATGTTTTAGACTAAAATCCTGCTGTTTTCTGTATGTTGTACACTTCATAATAATAGTTTAAAAAAAAACCCTAAAAGACTCAAACCTGTTGTATTGTGTAGGAGTGTGAATAATATAAGCATTTTCTATTTTATATTCTATTTATGATATACATTATGCATTGTGGACCTTCTACTCTGCTTTAGCATACTGCATGCAGATGGAGAAATGTAAATGATAAACAGAGAAACAAGGGAGAAAAAGCATCACTGCAAGAAAAATGAAGGCCCGGGTTTGAAGCGCACGAGCTGCAGAGATGGAGGCAGATGTTTCCCCAGACGTAAACCTAAACCTGATGGCTATCTGTGTGACAGTGCACATTTTATTACTCTATTAAATAACCCCCTGACTAACACAGAACCAGGCCAAGTGTGGGTACCAAACCATTAATGACACACATAAACCTTAGAAAATGGATTGTGCTATCCGTGTAGCACAGTGGAGTGCAGATCAGTCGCTAGATTCATGTTCAGGGGAGACTAAAGTGAGCGGGGAGGTGCAGTAAGAGGAACAAATCTTGTCAGCAGGTTAGGCTTGCTTTTGATTCATTGAGAAGTTAATGAAAAAGTTAATATATTTAACAATGTTAAAACCCTGAAATCTAAGTCAGCCGTTACAGCCGATCACCATCCTTTTACTTGCAATGTCACCAAAAGTTACGTCCGATTTGGAGGACAGTAAATTTTTATAGCTTCTGGAACTCAAGCAAAAGTAAACATTATGTTGGATGGTTTTGCTGAAATTTGATGCTGTTGCTCACATGTGCAAATGCTTTCTGTTCTCAAGAATGTGCATATGCTACTTAGTCACCAATGTACTCATTACTTAAAGCTTTACTATAGCATGCTATCTATCACATTTAACTAGTGCAACTCAGTTCGATAAGTGCTTTCCCAAAGTTGCAGCGCCAATCTGTAGAGTGTAGTTACATAAAGGTCATTAAGCTACAGGGGCAACTCGATCCTGAGGTATAAATGCAGCATATTCTATCAAACTGACTTCATGAGGGAGTTGGGCTGGAAACCCGTGTAAGAATGTCTAAATCGCAGGGTTATTAAGAAAAATCAAGTTATTACGAAAGAAAGTAAAACCTTAACCATGTGGTATTGATTTGACATCAGTCATAAGTGGAAAATCTTATCAAAAGGTGATAAATGTTAATCATAATTTTAATATATTTCACATGTAAAAACCAAAAAGTTACCTGAAACCTCAGTTTAGCCCATATATGTTATTCTGTGACTTACATGCTGTTTTTTTCACTCATGGGTAATTGGTTTGATTTAATGACTTCTCTCTCTTAAAATAGTGATTATTAAAAAAAACATTGGATTTGAGATGAGTTTCTTATCGATTTGATTTTATTACTTAGTTGCTGAATAATTCATCTTTTTTTTCTCCTTTTGTTTTCCTCAATTTTAATGTCTTGCAAAATAAATAGCTTGGGATCAAAATTCAAACTTTTAGGTAGCATTGGATATCGCTGCTGTCATACACACTTGTGGAGTTACGATTCACAGATCTTGCTTCCCTTTTGCCAACTCAGATTTAAATATATATATTGTCTTCTATTATCGCCCTTTCGTAAGTATCCAGAGGTATCACTCGTCCATTTTTTTTTCTGAAAGTCATGCTTTGCTCGCTCTCTGTGTCTGACCTCTCTGATTTTTCAGTCAGAGAGTAGATTAAGTCTGTCATCATGCTTGCTTGTATCTTTATATTCCTCATTTTTCATTAGGATGTGGTTTCTGAGGCTCTGAAGATTTAAACTGTTACCTTGAGATTTGGGGGGTTTTTTGGATCCACCTTTAGACTTCTTTTTGCTTGATGTTGGCGTAAGTGAAAACATTTTGTAACAGAAAAAAAATCTAATAAAAAAAAAACTTGTTATTAGATGAAAAAAATGTGAAAATATTTCACCTGTACACAATGCGTAACTATAGCCAAGAGCTAGTAAAGAAAATGTAATATATTACGTACGAGTTTTGTCATAAGATTATTTTTGCACCGTTAAAGGAAAAAGAGAGACAAAAGATGAGGGATTAAAAGAAGATTCATTATAATTTAATCAATTTAATTAATTTAATATAATTAATTTAATTCATTAAACACATATGTATTCATGACACATTTTCATGTTATTCTTTTTATCTTCATTGTATCACTGTAAGTAATGAGATGGCAAAATCAGCTGTTCATAAACACCAAATAAATGAATTTAGCTGTGGTTGTTTAACTGATCCATGTGATCCTTGTGTAAGCTCAGCTGTATATGTGTGCAGTTGTTGTTTAAGGGGATATGAAGCAGTTTATATAAGGCGCACTGTCGATGAATCTGTTTTCATACAGATCAGATAAGTCAAACTTTACTCAACTTCCTGCTTCCTCCACTTCTGTACCATTGATTCATTAATGTTGAATTCTCTCACAGTTGCTCTATTCCCATGTTGTTGCAGTATATTAATGACTAACCTCATATGGGGCGATCGTGACTCAAGAGTTGGCAGTTTGTCTTGTAATCGGAAGGTTGCTGGTTCGAGCCCTGGCTCGATCATTGGTCATTGTATCCTTGGGCACACCATTGCCTACTGGTGGTGGTCAGAGGGCCCAGTGGCGCCAGTGTCTGGCAGCCTCGCCTCTGTCAGTGCGCCCCAGGGCTGCTGTGGCTACAATGTAGCTTGCCATCACCAGTATGTGATGACTGAATGCTTTGGAGTCCTTAGGGACTAGTAAAGCGCTATACAAATACAGGCCATTTACCATATGGTGGATGGATTATCTCAGTTGTTCTCCTGACTGAAGTTTTGTCCGTTTACAGCATTTTGCGATTGCATTTGTCCCAGACCATCCTGAACCCTCACGTTAACTTTTATTGAGTGGAAAAAGTTAGCATTCATATTCCAGCTTCACTGTTTATGTTATGCTAACATAGCTGTGTTGCTAGCGATCATGTAGCACATTGTTACATACCAGGTAGTCCAACTTCAGTAAACTACAAAAGTCACTGCTGTTTAGTTTTCTGTCTTCATTTATGTTGGAAGTGATATCAGAGCTGTACGTTTTAATTTTTTCAGAAATCACTCAGTCAGGACATGCTATATCATGTTTAGGTTTAGGTAACTAGCAAAACTAGCGAGCTAACTTCCTGCTAACGCCGTTAAATTTAATAAATTCTGTTTTCATGGATGCCTGGATGTTACACTTAATTGTTACAACTGGTAAAGCAGCAACACTGATGATTTAATTAAAGAATTTTGACATATTTTAACTCTCAGTGACTGATTTTGACTGATTTTTGAGTGCCGTGTACCATATAAAATTGGTTTGAAGTCAGTAAGCACAACCAGAATTCATACATAAGGCGCACCGATTTTTGAGAAAATTAAAGAATTTTAAGTGCGCCTTATAGTGCCGAAAATACGGTACTTCATGACGTGGCAATTCTCAATTGTTGCACTGCAATGACAGAAAATTACAGATTGTGTGAAAAAGGCATGTTCTGCTTATTTTGGTATGAAATTGGATGACCAAAACAAGCTAAGGGCACCTCATTCAGTTTGCTGGGTGTGTTCTGAAAATTCCTGATACTAAAGGGAAAGCGAATGAGCTTGGGTTTTGGGATTCTAGTGGTACGGATGAAGCCATAGAATCACTCTGATTGATATTTTTGGATAAAGTTCAAAAATAAATCTGTTACACTAACCTGCCATAAGCGACAAGTCATGTACCACATTCAGATGAATGAGTCTGATGATGTTTCGTCTCCAGATTTATGACATTTTAGTAATGAAGAGTTTGAACGTCCAACGCTTTATTATCTCAGCCAGAGTTAAATGAGTTAATGTAAGATTTGTATCTGCCAAAGGAAGCGTCTGACTTGTTTGGGTCTAGATTCAGTGAGAAAGCCCCCCTGGCTCCAGGAACCAAATTTTCTTTTTATAGGCATCACAAGAAGGATTTTATTCCATTCTTTGAAATGGATGATGCCATTATTTGTGTTGATGGTAAAGGTCTTTTGGGGGCAATGGGTTGTGAGTACTATGCAGTTGGAGTGGAGTGTTCATCGACAAGTAGAGAAGCCAGCCTATATTAAGTAATATTATTTATTGGTATTTTTGAACTTAAATTTAAGGTAATGTCAGATATTTTCTGGCAAACAGCAGACATTTTATTCCTTGATGCAGGGTGGGGAAACAGAATATAAGATGCTTCTCAGCTTTCACAATCCGACCGTACTTCATACTTTCTGTGTGTAACTGTGTCTCTGTGTGTGTGCTTTCAAAGGTTGGAGGTCATACCATGCTGCCCATCCGCTGGATGCCTCCTGAAAGCATCATGTACAGGAAGTTCACAACAGAAAGCGATGTTTGGAGTCTCGGAGTTGTTCTCTGGGAGATCTTCACCTATGGAAAACAACCCTGGTACCAGCTCTCCAATAATGAGGTATACAAACTTTTATTATAAGTGCAATAGTTTCTTCTGCAGGTGCACGAAGACGTTTGTGAGTCACAATTATATAAACGACCTGGCTTAATAATTAACATACTTTTTGCAGTGTTTTTAAATTTGTTGAGTGATCACCAAGTCCTGGTAATTCCAGCATTAAAGTTAAAGTAACAAAAGTTCTGTAAAAGTTGCCTTGGAAGCACCTTCTTTTTAATAAGTGATGCTGAACAAGATGTTGCAGCCCCGAGATATGATGAAACAGCCCTTCAGTAAAAGTAAGACTAAATATTTGATCTGTTTTGTGTGCATGTTTCTCATAGGTATACACTGAGTGAGTCTTTTGTTCTGCGTCATCTCTTCGCTCACATAAACTCAACAAGAATGACTTTATGACATGGAGCAAGCTACTCGAAAGAAAGAGAAACAAAACCCAGATGAAAAATCTGCCGGGGCCGTTTCTTTTTCCTGCTTTGCTCAGAGTCTAGCAGAAGTGTAGCAGTTGTTAGACATCACACCTTTTATATTTTTTAGATATTAAGAGTATTTTCTTGATTCCTCTTACTTACTGTATAATGAAGTTGGAAGTAAATGGCAGTATCTTAAAGCCACATGTGGTAATATAGACTTTTACTAAATAACATAATATGTTTTAAATTTCCAGAATTGACAACTGCATCTATCAGAAAGCTGTGGAAAATTAAAATAAGGCTGAATTGTCTATCTATTAATCTACTTGCTCAAATTCAATCAGATTGTGGAAACAACAGCAACTCCCTCACACAAAGAAAATCAACCTAACCCAGAATTCGAATCAATTTTCCGGAAAACACAGCAGTGTCACAGCCTTCAACCCCTCGCCTTAACCTTAGCCTTACCAGCATGAACCCTGGGAGAGCCCTTAACTCTGGTTACATCCAAAAAATTAACCTTTAGCCCTTTCACTGTCTTCTTTTACCCTTTATGTCTGTCTATCCTCTGCGGTATCACAGCTCACTCGCATCGTGAATGAAATGTGATGCTCACATATCTTTTACACAGGATTTAAAGTTTTGATTGGGTCCTTTGTAATTTTAGATATTGAAATACTGCCTGTGCTGACTACAAACAGTACAATCACCTGACACTTTGTTAGGTGCACTTATTTATGGGCTTGTTAATGTAAATATCTAATCAGCCAGTCGGCCACTGCAGCTCAATGCATTTTGGCATGTAGTCATGGTCAAGATGAAGTTCAAACTGAGCATCACAACTGCTGATCCACTGGAATTTTTCTAAGTGATCAAATAGAAAACCAAGTGAGCAGCACCGTTAATGCCAAAGGTTGGAGCAGAATAGCCAGGATGCTAACAACTCAAGTAAATGCTCATTACAACTAAAGTATGCAGAAGAGGCCTCACACAACACAACACATTGAACCGTGAAACAGACGGGCTATAGCAGTAGAAGACTCCACCGGCTGTGTCAGCTAAGTGCAGGAAACTGAGGCTACAATTCACATAGACTCACTAAAATTGGGCAATACAAGATTGGAAAAATGCTGCTTGTCTGATGAAGCTCGATTTGGTGCAAACCCTTTGTATCAATGATTTAGGCTGCTGCTTGTCGGGTAAGGGTGTGGAGGATAATTTGTTGGCACACTTTCGGCACCTTAACATCGTATAAACACCACAGCCTGACTGAGTATCGTTGCTGACCCTGTCCATCTGTTTATGATCACAATGTGCTAATCTTCTGCCTGCTGCTCCCAGCAGATAAAACATCATGTCATAAAGCTCAGATCATCTCAAACTGCTTCCTTGAACTCGACAGTGGGTTCATTGTACCCTTGGTGTCACTGACCTCCACAGTCACCAGATCACAATCCAATAGATCAACTTTGAGATGCGCTAGAACAGCGGATTCGCTTCATGATTGTGCAGCTGACAACTCTGAAGCAACTGTGTGATGCTGTCATGTCAAAATGGACCAAACTCTTTGAGGAATGTTTACAGCACCTTGTTGAATCTGTGCCATGAACAAGTAAAGCAGTTCTGAAGGTAAAAGCAAGGTGCATCTAATGAGTTGGTGTTTTTACACATGCATGTTGTAAATCTGACTTTCCCCTCACGCTGGTGTAGAGAAATTGCAGACTTTGTCTTGAAGACTTCTCTGGCATATTATTTCTTGAGTTCAGTAAATAATTTATTCACTGTGACATTTTCACTTGGCAGAGCAGATGCTCCATCATCTTAACTGGAGTTTGAACACTGAATTTATTTTTTCTGCTTTGTTCTTTACTAAATGAGACGGGGCTTCTTCTCACAATTAACTTGATGCTTGTCTTTCTTTCGCTCTGTAGGTGATAGAGTGTATAACCCAGGGCAGGGTGCTGCAGCGCCCTAGGACCTGTCCTAAAGAAGTGTATGACCTGATGCTGGGCTGCTGGCAGAGAGAGCCACACATGCGTCTCAACATTAAAGAAATCCACAGTCTGCTCCTCAACCTGGCCAAGGCCTCGCCTGTGTACCTGGATATACTGGGCTGAACGCAGGAGGAGGCTGAAGAAGGGTTTTAGCTGTGTGTGTGCGACACGTGTGCATTTATGTGGGGATGGTCGCTGAATGTGAACGTGAATGCATATTTGTGGTTGCGTGCATGTGTGTGCGAGCTGCAGCGTGCGAAGCTGATGCAGGTGTGCGTGTGTGCAAGGTGTCGCTGTACAGGATGTGAAGCTATTATTAAACTCTCAAAGGCAATCAAAAAATTCCTCAACTGATCCCCGATCGCCTCTTTCTTCCCTGCCGATGTCCTCTCCTTTATGCATTTCCATCCCCCTTCCTTACCGAAGAGACATTTAAGAGTAATTTAACTTTGGAGTAAAAAGAAAAACAAAAAAAACAACAGCATCTCACTTATTTTCAAATGCTTTAAACTGACTGGGGCTAAACTGATGAAACCTAATTTAAAGGACTTTTAAATGACTCATTCCCTGCTGCCTGTTGGACAACAGGACTCGTTTGAACATCCGCAAATTTCGAGGAGACGTGGCGAGGGGAGGATTTCCGGAAGCTTCTATCTCTTGCGTGTAAATATGAGACTGGCGAAGGAAATGGCTCTGAGAGATGTCGAGCCATAAAGACACTGTGTTTTCCCTGCCCACCCTGTCGGTTTGTCTGTCTTTTTGTCTGTCTCTCACAAATGCATATCAGTATTAATGTCTGCATTCATCCAACAAGACTACACAGGCAATGATTAACACGTTGGTACACATACAGTAAATTGCGTGTGACCAAATAATGACTGGAGAAAAAAAACAATAAACAGAATCTGCTTTCCTGTCACACAAAATTAGGAGATGTGATGAAAAGATCATTTCTGGTCGGCCAATTTTGCTGATGCAAAAAAACCCCAAAACAGCGGCAGCTGAGGCTGATCTGAACTGCTGTGGTGACGGAATAATTCAGGAGTACGGCGGAGGAATTGTGCGATATTTAATCGTGAGTAATACAAATGTTAAAAAAAAGTGTCTGATCTACATTATCTGCTCTTGTTCTGTTGTTTTACTCAGGCCTGTACTGCACTGTCATACAGCACAGGGTAACATGAGGACTACTCCCCCAACCCCCTAAAGTGACAGATGCTTCACCTTGTGATGTCAAGCGCTCATGTCAGAGGTCAATTGATTCATTTGTCCACAGCTGTCCAACAATCGCGAGATCATGGCGTCGGGGAGGGAGGCGTAAAGGTTGCCTGGGGAGGCTCGGGGTTTGAGTGGTCAGATGACGGTCAGATGTGTGGGTGGCGGCATTGTAGAAGGTGTGGTTCATTTGGTCAACCCATATTAAATCATCAAAGCTCTCAGCACTTAGACATCCTTGAAAACCACATCTGCGCTACAGGGGATGCACACGAGAACACACACACACACACACAGTGTATACTTTATCCCGTCATACTTCCATCTCCACATCCTCACACACACACACACACACACACACTGAAAGTCACTCAAAACTGTCCAAGAAGGAAATTGAATTGTGCATGTTTTATTATTTGAGCGGTGCAGTGCTTTAGCCAGGCCTCGTGCTCTGTAATGGTGTAATGTATATTTCATTACAGCCTAATGGGCTCCATTAGCACAGTCTCCTCACAGACATTCAAGACTTATTGTTTTACGGCCGAGAAGCAAGGGTGGAAGGATGGAGAGGATAGAAGAGGTGAAGGAGAAGAAAACAAAAGTAAGGGGCCCGGAATGAGGAGCAGCAGAGGGGAGAAATGGGAGGAGAGGTAATAATGCATGGTGGGAAGAAATGGAGAGGACGGGAGAGAGTTCAGATCGGAAGCAATGGGGTAGAAAGGAGAAGACGATGGGAGTGTGACGGTACGGATGGGTCATGTGGAGAAAGATGAAGGAGGAAGAGTAGACAGTTGAGTGGAAAGGCGGAGGGAGAGAGTGGCGGAAAGAGAGGTGTAAATGTCCCCGGGGAGAAGGTGAGCGCGAACATCCCTCATTACTGTAGCCTGCAGATGTTCTGTAAGCCACAACTTCAACTTCACGCTCTCCTCACATTCCTACAGCTGCCCTCAACCACATTTTACACACATGCACACTTCCCCACACACATTTTACTGGCAGTCCACCAACAGCTTAAACTGAAAATAAACTCAATAATGTACCACACATGCCCATTATTGAGAACCACTTCACTCACTTACAGTACAGCTCACATATCTGAAAGCTTACAGACGCACTGTATATACAGCATCTCGTGCATGCAAGGAGACACATTCTGTGTTTGTTTTTTTTGCATTTTACTGGGGCATATTTATCCTTTACAGATATATGAGGTACAAAAAAAACCTAAAAAAACCCAAAAAAAACAGTCATAATCACTGCGGTTTCACTTACAGCCATTTTTAATTCGATGTCTTCTTGTTTATTAACAACAGCACTTGATGGTATTGGTGTTTGTGGATTTTGAAAATGTTGATTTTATTGATTTCTAGTATTATTATTTATAAATTAAGAAGCATTTTGTACATTTCTTTCTATAACTGAAGTTGCCTTTTGCAACTACAACTTGACTGAAGTTGAACACTGGTTTAGTTGATTACATTTTAGCAAGATAATCTTGAGTGTATATGTATTTTTTATGTCAGGCTCCCTCTAAACAGTTACTATGCCTGTCCTCTTCGTGCAGCCCGCTGCACAACAGGGATGGATGTTTCGTCAGTCCGTCACTTTTCTAGATTTAGCTCGACATATTGCGAAATTATTGTCACCTGTCAGCGCTAAGTGTGAGGCTTAATGGAAGAAGCATTGACAGTACGCACTAACAAGGCTCCTAGAATCCATCCCTGCTGTACAGTCAAGTAGAGTTTGCACTGAGTGAGCACACTCGCAAACACGTTCAAAAACTTGCCACACAATAACTCTGTGCAATAACAGAGGGCACGGTGTGCGAGGGCCTGTGTGTGAGCTGGAAATAATAAGAAAAAAAAACTAACTGTGAGAAACCAATGCAGCGCGTATGAGAACGCCTCTGGTGTCAAAAGAGTAGCGTACGTTGAAGAAACAAGTTCAGCTGGCTGCACCGTGTGTGCACGTACCCGCTGTGTTTCCTTTTCTTTCTTTTTTTAACAAAGTAATGAACTGTGTCAAGTTGGACAGCGGTGATGTTTTGATAGTTGCTGTGAGAGGAAGAGGCTGTGAGAGAGGTGTTTGCTAAGACGAAGACTGGTCAGCAAAGATCGACTCTGTGTCTTCGCATTGATGCCTCACATCACAGAGATTTCAGCAAAGGGGAGACGATAAAAAAGTAAAGGGAAAAACAACAACTGCTGTATGACCAGACACCTCAGACGAGGAGGGACTGACAATCACAGACTTCTTTCTCTCTCTTATTCAAGTGACCTACTGTAAAATAGACTATTCAACCAACTTTCCTCTTCTATGCTGCCTATACTGTATGTGATAGTCTTAAACTTTGGTCTTTAGAAGTGCTACTTTTCCTTTTTTCTTTCTTTCTTTTGTTCTTTCTTTCTTTTTTTTGTAAAATGAAATAACAGCAAGAGGAATGAACAAAAATACAAATGTACAAATGTGAATAAGCTGCTGAAAGAAATAAGCATTGCTAACTACTGTGTCCCGGACTGTGTCGGTATCTAGATTGTACTATTTTCTTCCTTTGTTTTCGAAGTAGAGGGCAGAGAAATGGGAAGCTGCACTGGACTCACAAATACACAAGATGACATACAGCAGCCCCCGGGATTCAGAGTGATGCTTGCTCATTCTCTCGGGGGGTGTTTGCGTGCGTGTCTGTGTGTGTGTGTGTTTGTGTCTGTGTGTGTGTGTGTGTGTGTGTGTGTGTGTGAAGAAGGCTGATTGATGCCAGAGTGAGTCAGGAGGGATCTGGAGGCTGGGTTTTAGACTCAAGTTCAAATGCAATGAGATTCAAGACGAGGATCACCGATTGATTTGTTGTCGCTGTTCACCAATTCATGATAAATGGCTTTCCCCAGTCGTGTAGGACTGTGGTGTGTATTATGGCAGCTAAGATTTATGGAATCAGTCAATTGCTTTATTTATGACTCCAAAATCAGCCTTCTTCTCTACGCAACTTACTAAAGCCTGGTTTTCACACAGGTATATCAGCAATAGTAACTGATATTTTCCTTTATTGGTTCTCCTCACTTTTATGTAGTTTGCGCTGAGTTTGGGCTAAACCACGTGACTCAGTGGACCAAAGCATATATCTCATACAGTAGATACACATCGCAACTTTGAGTACGCTTTGATCCGTATCACATTTAATCCCTTCTCTCTCTCACAAGCCCAGCATCACAGTCTAAGCTAATAGAGCTAAAACATCTTAAAGGTCATCTCTGAGATTACTTTTGTGCTTGGATGCTTCTGGAGCCTGTACGCCCTGAAAAACATAATACCACAAAAACTGCTTTGCTGCATAGAAAAAAATAGCATCGAGGAAGAAAACTGTGATTTGCTATATGCAGTATTTTTTAATTTAATTTTTTTTTTTTTTTTTTGTATAATTTTTGGGGTTCTGTGCCGTTTGTTTCTTGTGTTCAGGAAGGTTTAACCACTGCTATTGTGGCAGGAGTGGAAGAAAGAGAGGATGTTTTTTGGATTGTCAGAATTTTTAAATGGGATGGTGGACAACATGTGTATGGAAGATGTGTTAAAATGTTACTTGTTTGCCTACAGATGCTCTTCAAAATGTAAGAAACGTGTATTGCAAAGCACACAATGTTATTAAAGCTGGAGATGTTCTGTCTGATCGAGATCACAAACTTTTATCTTTGCAAGCAGTGTTTTGGGTTTTTTTTATTGGCACTGGAAAGAAAACGTCTGGATGTCCACATCTGTGCCCTGCTGGTTCAAACACACACACACACGCACATTAAATTCACACACACATACAGACACACAAACACACATAGAAACACAGACCAGAGGGAACTTGTACAGTCATACAGTTGCGTGGTGAAAATGGTCATAGTGACTCATGATGGTGATGATGGTGATAATATGACTTCTCTCTGAAGGTGGACCAGTCTGTTGTGATATAGTGTAATTAATAAAAAGTGTTATGTCACATCAAAGTTCCTGCAAGTGATTATACGGACATGTTATACATATATGTGTATGTGAGCGAGAGAGAGAGATGAATTCAGAAGTACTCAGGCATGCTCAGGGCAGTGTAAGAAAAGCAGAAAAATATGCCCAATTGAATTGAGTGATAGAGCTCGAGTGTCCGAGTGATGCTTCATCTCTCTCGTTCTATTAATCCCAACATAAATCCAGCGTCTTTTAAGGGAGAAAAAAAAGTTGCTTGGTTTGCAGATTAGAAGCAAGCCGAAGGCTTTTGCGGGGAATTGTGCGAGCAAATTGGACAGGAGCGTGTGCCTAAATCCCTGATGCAATTAGGCAACAGCTGAATTAATATCTCCTTTTTACACAGAGCTCTGTCTACAATTTATCTTTTAATAAAAATGTCGTTGGAAAGGAAATAAGAAATGCAAAAATTCACCTTAGTGTAAGTGTGTGTGGGAGATACTTAGACTTAGCATACTGCCTGGGTAAGCAAGAGCCAGGTGCTGCTGATCAAATGAGGTTGATTAACTAATCAGCAGCAGGTGTGAGCACGTCTATAAAGGCAGAGGTATTTCTGCTTTTCTAGTCTGGAGCATTCAAGTACTCAATGCAACAATCTTCCCTGGAGTGGCATTCCCAATGCAGTCACTGTAAAGTCACACTATGAAACTACAGAAAAGCCCAAAAGCTACATCTTAGACTATACATGCCCTAGCTAGCATGTTAAATGTTAAAGTTCATGATGCTACAAAAAAAAAGACTTGTTTGGAAGGGTTATAGGAAAAACCATCTTCTTTCTAAGAAGAACATGGCAACTTTGCATGCTTAAGGTTTGCACAATTGCATCTAAACAAAAAAAAACATCTCTTTGGACAGCTCAGACCAAGCTGGACTTGTTTGGTCATCATGCACAGCACCATATTTGGCGAAAACCGCACACAAACACCTCATAGTAACTGTCAAGCACGATGATGGAGAGGTGATGATTTGGGCTTGATTTAGGGCCACAGGACTTGTGCGACCTGCAGTCATTGAGTGAACACATTTGACTCTAGAAGAATTTGTGTGACAGCAGATAAAACTTCCCTTAATCAGGTCGTGTAGCAGGACACTGTAAATCCAACACAAATCTACAACATAATGGGTGAAAAAGAAAAGAATCAAGGTGTTGAGATGGACCACTGTAGGTTTTTGTGAGTATAAAGAAAGCAGCTTGTAGTTGAGAATTTCTGTATTCAGCAACCGAACCTCGTAAATAACACTGTTAATTAATGGACTCATACAAGCACACATAGGTCGAGTCGTAAGGATAACTTTAAGACATCTTCTGTATGATCGTGGACAACATACATTTATGTAACGCGTGTGTGTGTTGCGCTTGATGTTGGCTGCATTGTGCTCTGGTGTGAAACAATGAGGTAGCGAGGGCTGAATGTCTGGTTCTTTAGTGTCGACTAACTGAAACAATAAAATATAGAAAACAACAAGCGGTGTGTTGTGCTGTGCGTCTGTTAGGCTGGCTCCCCGTGGCCATTTTGGAAAATACTTTGAGTTTAGTGCACATGCTCGTCTACACACACACTGAAAACACACAGAAAGGGGATTAAAAATTTTAAAAAGGCATTTAATGAGCTTTAATTACATCAACTGCCACACGTAACCTTAATAATTATGGTCTTAACAAAGATAACAAGAGCGGATTCCACATCAGTAGGTTAGTAGTTTCCTTGAGTAACTAACTACACTAAAAGGGAAAACAAATCAAGTACTACCAATTCATAAATTCAATAGGCTGGTCTCCATGTCAGTAAAAGGTGATGTTTGGGATTAAAAACACTGTTTTGAGGAATCTTTGAGGAATCTTTTGGTAAAATAAAAGAATCACATTTACTTCTTGATGTCACAGGCCGGCTCACAGCCAATGAAAAGTAGGTGAGATGAGAACTTCATCCTGTAATACGTGTGTTTTTTGAGGAATGAAACCATTAGTATTGGCAGTTAATTGATAGGTTGAGTTCAATTCAAGGTAAGTAGCCTGCAATATTAGAGAGAGAACCCCAGTCATCAGGAAATCCCCTATAGGCAGAACTTTGTGACAGTGGAGAGGAAAAGCTTCCTTTTTAACAGGAAGAGACCTCCGGCAGAACCAGGCATGGGAAGGGTCAGCGACTGATTGGTTTGGAGATGAGGGGGGAGAGAGAAGTGGAGCTCGTAAAGAGACCACAACCCCAAAAAGGATGCAAAATAAAGAAGAGAGGACAAAGGTTAAGGCCATGCATTAGTGTCAAATTAATGCATTGGAAGGAAAACAAAATCTTCACTGCATCATGGGAAGTCCCCCAGCAGCTTGAGCCTGTAGCAAGAAAACCACAGGATCTTACATGAGAGAGGGTATCTGTCATTCTGCCTTGCACTTTTCATTTTGAAACTGGGAACCACAAGAAGTGTATGCTAGTGTCGTCCAGGGCAAAATAAATAAACCAAAACCAGGAGCGGTGGATCCAACACCTTCCCAAGCATGTTACTGCAGTCTTGGTAACCTCTCACAATGAAAGGGTGAGAGCTCATGATGCCAAACAATCAACCAGACAGGAAACCACCCAGATTATTAGCCACTGGGGGGGGAAAAAGGCACAAACACTCCACAACCCAAATGGCTTGACTACATATGAGTACAGACTGGAGAGTGTTGCCAAATGCCCAAATCCCCTATGCCCTTTTTGTGAGTGGCACTTGCCAGTAACCTTTCAAAAGATCAAATTTACCCACATGTTAACCTGATCAATACGATCTTCCATTGAGTCAGCCTACGATTCTGAGCAAACTTTTCAAACCTTTATAACTCAAAGACAAGTTCAGGGCCATCTCAGTGTGCACCATTATTCATATGTACCGAGCTTCAGCTTCCAACTGCCTTTTCTTTTCCTCAGAATAAAATATCTGTTTGATGGGGTCAGCACCTTCGACATCCACGTCCTGCTGTAAGTGGGTTGATACCAGCTAGCAGAGCGGGATGGCTCCAAATAGCCAGCACCTCGTATTTTCTCACATCTAAATGTTGTTACAAGGTATCCAAGTACTGCAATGCTTCTGAATTTTTAAAATGACCCTGTAGCACTACAGATGCCAAATCCCTCTCCCCACCACCTCACAATCAGAATCAGCAAACAAGACAACAGGAGCAGCAGCCACTGTTGGCTGGATCACTCAAGAGCCAGGATACTTTAAGCTCTCTGAGTCACAGCTTTAAGGGCCTGGCTTTAAGAGATTTTTAATTTAGTTGATATCTTATGGCTTGGATTTCAAATAAATAGCTTAGGCAGACACTGGGAGCACCACAGTGCAGCTACTACTGTACTTTCCAAAATTGCTAAGATAACAAGGGGCAAAAGCGCAAGGACACATTCACTGGGACTGAACTAATGCTAACTGCCTGTCAAATCATCATTTTTCTTTACTTTTTTTCCCTTTGGGATCGCTAATTTTTCCTAATCCAGTTCACCTGGCCTTTCCACAGGTTAAATCTAGAGATATTTAATTAGCCAAATAGGTTTAAATGTAATAGATGTAAATCTGAAATCACTTCTAGGGGAGATAGTGTTTTAATTTATATGTATTCATGCTGTTTTCTTCATTTGTTTGTTTTTACGTGTGTGTGTGTGTGTGTGTGTGTGTGTACATGTCTATAAATAGGAATAGTAGTGGTACAATAGCTATATCAAGCTATATAGTTTATGTCTTCCATATTTCCA